TTTGCTGAATCCTTGCAAAACTGGGCAAAGGCAGAGAGATGGGAGCAGATGGAACTAAGCTGAGCCAAATCTCTCTCTCTCTCTCTGTTTCTTTCTCGCTGCCCGACTACAGCAGGAAATGGCGGGTGGCTACTTCTTGCCTTGGTTGGTGCTGGACACGTGACCTGCTCCCAACCCCAAGACACTGTCCTGTCCTGTGCTGCGCTGTGGCCAACGCTGCTGCTGTTGCCAGGGGAAAGTGGGGCAGGGTAGCATTGTATCTCTGCATCATAATGGGCTCCAAGATGAGGAGGGAACCCCGTCTCCTCCATTGTGAAATGCGTTAACTTTCACTGTGCTGGAGATGGCAGCAGCAGTGGCATCGGGAAGTGCAGCAGAGGGCTAAAAGAGCTGCATGCGGCTCCAGAGACACGGGTTGCCGACATCCGGTCTAGATGAAAATGATTACAGACCTCCTTCCTGCAAAACAAGAATGCTTTTGAACATCCATATAGTGGATGTTATATGGGCACTTATATGTGTAATAAATTATATTCATGTGTTTTTGAAAGTACTCATAATCTCAAAACTGAAGACAATGAAATCTAAAATTTATGTAAAACAAATCTCTTCATATGGGTTCACTAAAATAGATCTCTTTGTTTCTCACAGTTAGTACTTCAGTTTTCCACTTTGGTATTTAACAGTATTTAAAGAGCAGTATCTGTATTCCTGGCTCCCTGATTGCCTTCTGCTTGCTGAGTAACAACTATGTCTGATTATTCGGTGCCATAATGTCTGCTGTATATTGTGGCGTGGTCCTGGCTACGGAAAAAGGCTCTATATATTTTCTGCTATTTGTTATCACAAAATGATTAGATAACCTGTGTTAGCTAAAACTCCTTATTGTGACCTACAGTTAGAATCTGTTGCAAAAAGCATCTGTTTAACAATTTTGTACCTAGGTCTCTTTACTGCTTTATCAGATGAATAAGGATAGGCCTGTTCCATACTAATGGTTCTACATATTATAACTGTTTCACAAAGTACATTTGGAAGCTTTTGCTGCTATTATTCATGCAATGTCCAAAGTGATTACTTTTTCACAGTGGCTGCCAGTTTTCAGTAGGTTTCAGCTGCATCCTAAAATATCAAGAGCTTAATCAAATGACAATACATGAAGAAGTGAGCTGAACTGAGGAGGATGGACTTCTATGATTTATAATTGAGAAGCATTATGACAAGAAGCTTTCAGTGACTCAAAAGAAAATTCAAAGAATAGCACTCACATAAAAAACAAAATTAATTCAGGATCACATGTTGTCATCTGAAATGGCTTCCATGTTGTGATTTGCAAAGCTGATGAGTCAGATTGTCTCAGTCATCCTAACCAGCAGGTGAGGAAATGCCACGTAAGGGAGAAGGCTTCAGGGTTGTGATTTTGACTGAGATTTGTTACCAGTCTTACAGACAGATAATGGGTTTTCTAATAAGAAACACAATGGGATCTCTTTCATAAGAACAGAATGACAGAGTTGGAAGTGACCTTAGAGGTCTTCTAGTCCAATCCCTGCTTGAGCAGGAGACTCTAACCATTCCAGACAAATGGTTGTCCAATCTCTTCTTGAAATCTTCTAGTGACAGAGCATCCACAATTTCTGGAGGGAAGCCATTCTAATACTTAACTGTTCTCATTGTCAGGAAATTTCTCCTTAATTCTATGTTGGATCTCTATTTGATAATCTTCCATCCATTACTTCTTCTCCTGCTCTCAAGTGCTTTGGACAATAGGTTGACCAATCTTTTCTGTGACAGCCCTTCAAGAATTGGAAGACTGCTATCATACCATCTCTAGCCTTCTCTTTGCTAGACTAAACATAGCTAGTTGCCGCAGCCATTCTGGAGTCTTGATGTTGTAGAGATAAAAAAGTATTTTGCTACAAAAATTTGAATTAATGGCTGCTATTAACTTATTAGCTTATATTTAACATAAGTTTTATATAGTATAAGAGTATGATTTTTTTAAAAAAATGTGTAACACTAGGAGTGGGGACAAAATGCCTCATTCAGTCCACTGAAAGGTCCACTGAAAGGTCTGCACATTTTCTAACTGAGATTGGCCTCATTTTGCATAATTTAGAAGACCAACTCAACATGTAGTACTAACAGGATGAATTTTCATTAGTATCTGTGAGAGAAATAATGTGATTATTTTAGTGAAGTTATTATTTTCTTTTTTCATATGTGCAATGCACTATTCTTGGGTAGACACAGGAATTGGACTTTACTATTTATTAAGTACTTTGAGTGTTCTTCATTTCCATAATTTTAAAAAAGCTTCTTATATTTAATGTTTGAACCTTTCATTTAAAAAAAAACTCATTACTAATTTTATTATTATCCTTTGGGATGTTCTATTAAAACACTATTCATCAGGCTTTGGTAGAAAACAATACTAGCAGGAAAAAAAATTCTGCCCTGACTGAGTATCCCCACCCTTCCCCAGGCATGATGCTGGCAAACAATGCTGCTCAATGGGCACATTGACCCAGATTGGTGGAGTCCCCTGGCCTTGTTTCCTTTTCGTCCAAGCAAACATCACAAGCTGTGGAAAACATTTACCAATCTTTAATGCGGGATGTGTCTGAGGCTGGGAGGCAGACAAGTATGGCTAGAAGCAGAGGTGTCAAACTCAAGGCCTGGGGGCCAAATCCGGCCTGTGGGATGCTTAGATCTGGCCCGTGGGGCCACCTTGGAAACAGTGAAGGACTGACCCACATTGCCTCTGCCAATGAAAATGGAGCTCAGGAGGGCTGCAGCAGTCCTCCTGAGTCTGTTTTCATTGGCCGAGGGTTGCAGAAGGCCGTTGCAGCTGAAAATGGAGCTCAGGAACCTGTTTTCACTGGCAGAGTGCTCGGGCCACCACAGGCACTCCTGACATGAGTGATGTTGAGCTGGCCACACCCACCCCAGCCTCCTGAGATCAAACACAACTCTGATGCGGCCCTCAATGAAATCAAGTTTGACAACCCTGGGCTAGAAGATTAAATCTTTATATTCTGGAATAACTCTAAATTGGTGCCCAACTAGCAGCTGACAAGTATGGGGCAAGTTATATTATAAAGGAGAAGAGGGGAAGTTGAGTCTTACTTTTCCATGCAACCTCCTACCACCATCTCTGGTCAGCAGCTGTTCTGGCTGATCAATGTCTTTAAGTTGGGGAGCAGCATAGAGACTTGACACAAACAGGAATTTGGAAGCACATCAAATTGCATCCATAGCAAAAGTGTTGTTACCTCTTTAAGAGAAAAACATTACTTTAATCCTGAACTATGAGGAATATCTGCAAGTTGCTTCAGCTTTGGATTGAATATGGTAGAAAAAAGAGGTTACTGGCTCATGTTTTATGGTGGGCAAGTGCAAGAGCTGTGTAATAAGTGAGTCTTATTAGCCAGTATGAGATAGGATACTCATAAAATAGAAGCAGAGGATTCCAATAGTTTTTCTAAGATGACGACAACCCCATCAGTATGATCCATCCCCAAGCCTTTATTGGATCTTTTTTTGTGTGTTGCTTAAGAGAAAATGAGAAGATACTATTGATTTTACAACAAAGAGAGATGGGGACACCTCTCAGACTACAGCAACTATTGAATAGAAATGTTTTCAAATGAAAAATTTATTTGCAAGGATGCAGCTTGATTTTGTTCCATTATCCCATGATTGTCCCCCTGTAAATTGGCCTATAGCTCTTTTGGAACAATTATATTAGTAGAGAAAGAATGTGTTCAGTACATTAAAAAAAAATACTTTCTATCTTTCATTTTGCTGCCATTAGTCTGGCTATTTAATTAGAAAGATATTTTGCTAGAGACTATGCTGACCTGGGTGAATTTCTGAAGTAAATTGGTGCAAAATGTAAACAAAATGAAGGTTATTGCTCTATTCCCAGTTCCAAGTGCAAACACAAGTTGGAACTGCTTTATTTAAAGACTAATATCCCCTTTCTCATGCAAGTCTGCTCATATATTTAATTTATGTTAAGTATTTTTATGAATTCCTGATATTAAGAAATATTAAAGTTGATGTGTCCAACAGATTAGCGTCACAGTGCTGGCCTCAAAACTCTGTAAATCCTTTCTATTCATATGTGCCTGGTTTTTGAGCAATAGACACTGTATTTAAATATGTTTTCAGCTAGATTTATAAATGGTCTCTGTGGTCAAAACACTTTTGTAATTCAAGATGGAAAAATCATTGTAATTAGTACTAGAAATAATTATTATAAAAACTTGCATTTATGGTACTTGACTCCCTGTGAACTGAGCAACATTTATGCCTTATACAGATTATGTATCAGGAAACAGTTTTGTGCATATTTGAACTATGCCCTCAAACATTTCACAATACTTTTAGATTATTTAGAATAGTTTGTTTCAGATTAATGACAATTAATTTGAATCTTATTAAATTAGCAAATACATAGTTATTTAATATAGAAAAGTTTATTTATCCCCTCTTAAAGCTTTGGAATTGACAGAAAAGACCCAATGTTACTGATAGTTGCATGCAGTTTAGTCCATGTCATGGTTGATATTACATTTCTTGCACTATATACATTTTTTGTATAAACACTAGCAATTTTAAAAAAAATCCCTAATCAGTAGATTGGAGCATATCTTAACAAGGGACATAATAACCAGCTAGTATCCTTAAAACACATTAGTTAATAATATATATTAAAAAATAGTATTAGTTATTGGCTTTGAAAATCAGTCTTATAAACTGGGTGTAAATGTGTGTGTATGTGTGTGTGTAATTATCAGAGAACAACAATATATTTTATTATAGCAGTCAGTATTCACCAGCTACTGCACAGATGGCTTGTAAAAACCTCACTGTTCTAAAATTGGCTACATGTAAAAATTTGAAATCCATGCAGAGAATGACATCTAATACCTGAAGAGACTGAAAGATTGGTTAAAAGAAGGAAGAAGAGGAGAGAGGGAGGGGAAAAAAGAGAGAGGGAGGAGCAAATCCCAGTGAAGAGAAGAAATCAGCTCTTACGAGTCTTGAATATATTTCATGAGCTTCTATATAAAGACACAACAGTCTCAGTAAAAAGGATGTAGTAATAAGGATTTCTGCAGCTGGATAATAAGACATGGTGAGTGTGATCTTTTGTTGCCTTAGTGGGTTGCTACATTTTGGTGCAGGGGTGTGGTGTATTTATTTTTCTTTGTCAGTGCTAGAGTGTTTAGGATTATTTTGAATGAATCACTTGCCACTGTTCCTTTTTCATATTTTCAACACGCACACATTCTTTGTGTAGAAACTGAACAGCAAGATGATGAGATCTGGTAGGATAAATACTCCATGCCCTTGTACAACAGATTGCTATATGTAACCAGTAATGAAATGCTGATTTTCTCTCAGGTGAACGCAAACAAGTCGCAGGGGTTGTGGGGGGCTTTTCCCTCTGGAGACAAGCTAGAGATTGGATGCTATATTATATGTCGCATGCCATGCAAGTTTCCATAAGGTGTGAAGGAAAACAAGAGCAACACATCCCTCAGCTTTAGACATGGACGAGGAGAGGCAGAGACATTTATAAATAATTGGTGCAGAATTTTCACACAAGAGACATCTTGATGTGAAATCAATTAATCCCTCCCCCACATTCCAGTGTATAGTTCCTATCCAATTGGCCATTTTCACAACTGCAGCAAATGTGTAATTTACTGCAACTCTTCTTTAGATGGCTGGTCAGGGTACCAGATAAGGCACTATCCATTGTGCTGATCATCTAGAAATAGTGCCATGCATGTAAAGAAAGAAAAGGGGGAAAGAGCAACATAGGTGCTGCTATTACGTCTTTTACTTTTCAAGGAGAGAAATGAAGATGTTGCAACAAAGGGTTTTTTCAAACTACATAACCTCATTCATTTAATTAAACAGTTGTTTAAATCTTTTTACATTTCTAAAAAGATTAATACTTGTACAAACATGAAAGCATAACAGTTTAAAGAATTGTTTTTTTTTTAAATGGGTATTCTGTTTATTTGAAAATGAACCAAAGGAGATTCAGATGTTTTGATCCATCTGTGAGAAAATCAGGGGCTGTCCTCTAGCAGTTAAAATGAAAATGGTGTTTTACCAAAGAGAGAAAAATGATAAAAGGACCAATGAAATTAAAAAGAACTTCTGCTTCATGGAAGGAGGATTATTTTTAAATGTGTGGGCAGTTATATTGACAAAGTTTGTTTAGTAGATATGCACACATACCCAAACATACTACTCCTTTATTTGATTGAAAAAACTAAGAATGCAAAGCTAAAGAATTATAGAAATATAAACATTGCTTAATATAAAGCATTTCTGAGGGTCCTGTGGAAGGACCAATGGGGAGGGGGCGGTAGCCATGCTTCAGAAAACAAGCTATTCCAAAGGGGAGAAGCTGCTACAGTGAATATTATATCGAACTGTAGTATGTATTAAACTTACAATAAATAACAATCACAAGTATTCATTTATTTAGTTGAAATCAATGGGAATGATTGGAATCACAGTTACAAACTCAACTTATTACTGTAATTTGAATTTGAATTTCAAATCTCTACTGATTTCAAAGAGAATCATCTAAGCATAAGCATGTCAGTTTGAATCCAATATTTACCTTTAGTCTAACTGACATATTGTGAATTAAGATGAAAATTGTGGACTTAATTATAATTTCCAAAATGAAATGAATGTTCATAAACAATAGCTAATATATATTTATACATGGGCCTAATTACTGTAAAAAAAAAGCTAGTCTCAAAACAGTACTATTCTCTAAACTACTCTAAAAAAAGCTAGTCTCAAAACAAGAACATATTTCAGCTAGAGTAGCCATCTGTTTTTGAGAAAGTCATGCTGAAGTAGAAGGGATTTTGGATCTCAATGGGTGGCTAACATGAACTTTTAAAAATGACACATTTAAGAGTTTAGTGAACTGACAACCTTCATTTAGTCTAGCATGCTGCACTGATAGAAATACATTGCACAAAAAACTCAAGTGTTCTACAAAGCAACACTGAAATATTACAATCACAAATGTTAAAATATATAGTAAATATATCAGCAGAGACAAGAAAATTAGGAGAAACACTTGATCAATTCCACTTGATCCTGCCAACTCACTATTAATATCTGGATTGGATTTAGAAATAATGTATGAACAATTGTTCTTCCTAAACCCTTAACATTTTAGATGTGAGGACAAAGAAAAGGGCATATTTTATTTTACTTAGTTCTACTTGAGAACCTTAAGCGTTTTGCTTCTTTACTTAAATAGGTTTGTTTTTATAAATCTGAAATTCCCACTGTAGATAAAATATCACAGATAAGTAATGTTGTTATGTTTCCATCAAAGGTAATGTGGTAGATACCCTTTAAGTTTTATTCTATTTTTCTATAGGGCCAGCTGTAATGGAGTTCAAAAGAGGAAAAACTTTCATAAAATCTAGCATGCATCTGACTCATGAGAAGCTACCTTTAGTGCACATAAATACTAGAGAAAAGGATAATGTCAAAGCGGACATAAAAGAGAAAAGCCAGCCTGAAATTCAAAAAGCAACTTTTTCTGAAGATAAAAATGGCAGTTTTTCCAACAGATTAACAAAAATTGGCTCTAGTGAGAGTATACTGTTGCTACCCCAATCTTTCTATAAGCCTGTTAAGAAAAGCAAAACACATGACTGTGTTCTAGGAGGAATAAACAAAACTGAACCATGTAATTACAATAATGAAAATTCTGAAGAAGAACATTTAGCTTCTGAAAAAAGCAAAGGGAGACTCATCAATAGTGCCAGTTTTTCTGGGCTTGGAAACTCCCAGCATTCTAGTGGCAAGAAAGAATCTATGGTCAACTCAAGCCATTTTTTGAACAGCCCGCAACAGATGATTGATTACCGCAACTTTGTACCCCAAATGCCCTTTGTGCCAGCTGTTGCCAAAAGCATACCTAGGAAGAGAATTTCCTTGAAACGGTCCAAAAAAGGTTTCAGAGATATCTTTCATATTAAAAAAAATAAGCCTGAGAATATTGCCTTGTTTTCAGAAAAGCAAAAAAGGGCATTTCCAGGCTACAAGTCAGAATTGGCAGGAAAGTTTGGTAAATATTTATTCAAAGCTGGTGAAACCTTTTCTACTGATTGCTTGGCACAAGACTTATCTGATGGTGAGCTTCAGTCTGAGTCTTCATATGAATATTCAAGTACGTTGTGTGAAGATGTTGCTTCCTTGAAAAGCTTTGATTCTCTCACGGGATGTGGAGAAATCTTTGCAGATGAAAGTTCTGCTCATATGGAATTGGAGGTCAACAAAGAAATTTTGTTTAGACAATCTCACCAAAAAGAGAATCCTGCCATGGGTTCCTTTCAAGGAGGAGTAGAGCAGCTTGCTTCCCCAGCTCAAAATGAAGCAGCTGATTTTTCAAAACTTTGGGACAACATCAATAAATCTGTGCAATTGCACCAGAAGACATTGTTTGATAGGAGTTTGCTGACAATACCTAGCAGTGAGTTGGAAAAAACAAAGAAGGAAGCCAAAGGCTCAGTGACTGACTTGCTTTCTTCCCCTGATTCTTCTAAAGAAAGTTCCATAGATACAGGGACCCCAAAGAGTGACAACCAGGAATCTATGTCCACTAGTGATGAAGGATACTATGATTCATTTACTCCTGGGCATGATGATGAAATAAGGGAGGTTCAATCCCCTGGAACACCAACTCAGTTTCCAAGAGACAGTTACAGTGGAGATGCCCTATATGAACTATTCTATGATCCTAATGAAGATCAAATCAGTCCAGTTCTAGATGATGATTTATGCTTCTCTGAAAGCATTTCAGAAAAAGCAGTTGAGATACCTTTATCAATTTACAGCTTTCATGTAGGGTCAGAAGAAAATATGGCTTCCCAGCCAACCATTGATATAATCAGTCAGGGATTTCTTCACAGCACATGGAAGGGCAAAGAATGCTTGCTTAAGTTATGTGATACTGAGCTTTCCCTGACCATGGGGATTATCAATTGGCTGCGAAAAAAACCAGGGCTGTTTTCCCCCCAAGACTTTCCTAACAATCCTCAGACACATATGAGAAAAGATGATGAGTCAGTGTCTCAATGCATCCCAGATTTTAAGGAAAATAAAAGCAATCCAGGGGCATCTTCAACTGATAGCAAAAGTAGAATCCAGACATATTCAATAGAAAGAACTGAACATGATCAAAATGATATCCATGCGTGTAGCTTTCTAGAAAGAGAAGAAAATGTGAATGTCATGTCTGAGCTCATAATTGACAATGGCATACCAGGTGACAGACAAAGAGTAGAGGACAGTTGGGATGAACTATTGGTAAATTCATCTGAAATGAAGGCGGCTCTCTCAGAAGAATGTACAGATATTAGCATCGAATCTTTGCCACTAGAAGTCTCAAATGAAGATTCAGTTTGTCATGTTGTTATGGATAATCATGATGCAGAATCATGTTCTTCTTACATGACTGCAGCAACTTCTCCAGATTCTCTAGAGCCCGAAGATGACAGTGAATCAAAGAATCAATCCTGGTCTGTTGAATGTAAGGATCCAATGGAGCCATTGAGCCTCTGTCATTCTCAAGGTCCCATTGATGAGACTTTAGAGGAGAATAATACTCACATAATGCAGCTTTTAGAACATTGTGTTACTCAAGCTGCTTCTTTAAAGATTGGTTATGATTCTAAAAACAAGCCTTTCAAAGGGACTAGCAATGAAGTGAGCAATGACATAGCGACAACAACTCAATTTAAAAAACAACCTCAGTTGCAAAATGAACATAGTGACATAACCCCAAAGCCAAAGTATGTTCTTGGCCATCATGCAAGTCAATATAATGTCCAAACAACAATTGATGCCAAGTCTTCATATCTTAGGAGTCAGAAAGAAAATACAATTTGTTCTGAAGATGAAAAAAACTTAAGTATCTTAGATCGTGTGGGTCAAATTACAAAGAATAAACTAATGTTTGAATATGCTCAACTGAATAGTCAAGCCTTGTCTTATATAAAAGATTTCAGAGTTGAACTTAATACTCAGAAGTCTTCTTCAATGTCAGACATTTGCAGACCTACATTTTTACCATTCTTCAGTTCCATTTGCTCAGATTCAGCCAATCAATTTTCCCAATCTTTCTGCAAAAGGTTCCGTTCATTGGGGAAGGATTCATACAATCAAGGGATTATACAACCTGACCTGCCTTTTGATGGCTATTCAAAATTACAGTGTAAAGTATTACCACAGGTTCCTTCACTTTCACTTTCAAAGGATGATGTCAAAGAGAGGACAATAATGGAGAAAAATCAAGAGTAACTGGCTGAAATAAGGTGAGTTTTTGAAGTAAAATCAATGCTGCATTGAGGAAAAAAATACAAGGTTATTTCTTTTCTATTTATCTTGGCTAGCCAAGTATTTTTAGGAATTCTATTATTATTATGCCTTTATTCTTTACTCCCTTTCTGAAACTTCATTCTTCTCCCTACATTACATGGTTAAAATGAGATAGAGAAATAAACCACAAGAAATGTATTTATTTGCAAAAAACGCAATCTATTATCTAGGTGTTTGTTACCTCCACATTATACATTTATGGCATATAAGAAAATTCATTCTTCTGTAATTATTTTTTGCTTACTCATGTGGAAATGACTTATGTTGACCATTTATGGAGTAAATAAATCAGAAGAAATTTGATGCGTGCAATTATATTTCTATAATTAATGTTGAAACTAAGATTGCATTGCGCGTGCGCACGCGCGCGCGCACACACACACACATCCCTTCTCATATTTTAAGCAGTTCCTATTTAGCTGGATAAAAATTAAATTGCTTTTTTAATTTTTTTTTAAAGAAGAAAATTTTGGCTAAATTCATATGGGTAAAGTGTTTTCCTAACTTTCTTTACATAAGAAAGCTTCTCCCAGTGTGCAACTGTCTGGCTTACTACACATCGATATCCCTTGTCCAAAGCATTATTGATGTCTAAAATGAAATATGCATTCTGTATAATTCAATGTTTACTGATAGAATTTCATAGCAAATATATCTTTTGTGAAAAACTGGAAAAAGCAATTGTTATTCCTTGTATTTTTGATTTTAATTACTAATTATTTAAACATGTACAAAGGGACATATATAGTAAGTGTGCATATTATGACCTGACTGAGAATGCAGTATTTTCAGTATTAAGCAAAAACAAAGAACACAGGGGTATAACCTCAAACTGACAGGAGCAAAGTTCAAAAGTAATATTAGAAAGTATTACTTTACAGAAAGAATAGTAGAAACGTGGAACCAACTTCCAGCAGAAGTAGTGAGTCAATCATCAGTAATAGAGTTTAAACATGCTTGGGATAAACACATGTCCATCCTGAAACAACAACAAAAAATAAAAAAGAAATTAAAATAATAATTAATTAAAAAGAAAACATAAACAAAAACTCAAAGGGCAGACTTGAACCACTAGGTCTTTTTCTGCCATCAGTTTTTTTATGTTTGTATGTTTCTATTGCAGCCTGCAACAGTAGTTCATGAGATGTACTGCAAACAGACATTATAGAACTTGGGGCATTTTCTAATATGCTCTTTTCTAGCAGCTGTAGCATGCCACCAGTTATAAATAAAATTGCCTGTCAGTCAGTGCAATCCTATGACTAGCTATGCAAAATTAAATGCCAGTGAGACTTGTAACTGTGTATAGGGCTGCAGTATTAATGTTCCTTTCTCCTCCCCAACCACATTTTGCTGACTAAGAAAGGTTACTGTGTACGTTAAGATTTATCATAAATGCTGATTTAAAATGTTGACATAATCTCTGGTTACATCAGCATTTAATCTATTAGTAATTTTAGCACATCTCTGACTAATTGCTTTTGGTTACCTGCTAAACACTTGGTTACTTGAAATGTTTCAAAAAAGGACCTACAAGTCAACAAGAATGCTTGTGATATATCCAGATTGCAACTCACATAGAGTTTACTTTTAGGATCACTTTATATATGGATTTTTCATTTACCATATTTTGAATGTCTGTGCATGTTTATATCTTAAGTATGTATATTAAGATTTTTTCCCCCTGTATTTTGTAAATTGTTTTATATTCTTACAAAGAACACATTACTTTGATGCAGGGGTGGGTTCTAAATTTTTTTACTACCGGTTCTGTGGGCGTGGCTTATTTTGTGGGTGTGGCTTAGCGGGGGTTAATGTGACTGGGTGGGCATGGCCAACTTTTTTTTTTTAACTTTTAAAAGCATTTTTTCTATAACCTTAAGAGGTTGCAGAAAAAAATGCTTTTAAAAGCCTTTGACGATCAGGCAACTCAGCTGGGATCGCCAGAGACTTTTAAAGGCATTTTTTTTTCTACAACGTCTTCGGCTGAAAAGGTTGCAGAAAAAATACTTTCAGAAGCCTCTGACTATCCCACTGAGCTGTGTGATCATCAGAGGCTTTTCTTTTTACTTTTAAAAGCATTTTTTCGGCCGAAGAGGTTGTAGAAAAAATGCTTTTAAAAGTAAAAAAAAAAAAAAGAGCCTCTGATGAGGTGGGTGAGGTAAGCGAGGTGGGTGGAGTAAGCCCCCGAACCGGGCCGGGGACCGGTTCGGGGGCGTGGCCAGCCAATGTTATTACCGGTTCTCCGAACTACTGCAAATTTTTACTACCGGTTCTTGCGAACCAGTGCGAACCGGGAGCAACCCACCACTGCTTTGATGTCATTAATATGTTAATAATGTGTTTTTAGCCAGGAAAGATATCAGACAAAGTGTAATGGGGTTTACCAGTTAATACATTTCTTTTTCAAAGCTGAAATACAATTGTGAACAACAATCCAGATCTTACTCCTTAACATAGTTGGCATTTGCATTTGCTATTTATTTTCCATTTTTAAGAGAGGCTCAAAGTTTCTTCACAATGGAAGTAGGAAAATAATTTAAAATAATCTCAATTTATAGAAAAACATGAAGATTAGCTACTGCTGCCAGTATCTCAGAAAGGATTTCAGGTTAAAATAATAGCACCTTTTAAAACTACATATGTACTTATTCATAGAGGTATACTGGGAATAGAGATAAGACTAGGTAGCAATCTTACCAATTTTCCTTCTGGTAAATTTGAAGATTTTTGACTGACTACCAACTGACGCAACCATTTTGTGAATAAGGAAGTCCACCATAGTGGCAATTATTTTGCGAAAAGATGTACAATAGATTCCTAGTACTCCAAATTTGCTTCTAGCCAGTGGTGGGTTGCTACCGGTTTGCTGCAGATTGGGCGAACTGGTAGCAGCGGCGGCGGGAGGCTCTGCCCACCTGCACAGACATTTCTGTGCATGTACAGAAGTGTTGCATGCGTGCACAAGCACAAGCGCGCCCATGAGCAAACCGGTAGCGACAGGTTTTGAAACCCACCCCCGTGCCAAGAAATGTTTTTTCCTAAACTGCACCAGGATGGTGCTATAGCATGAAGTGTAGAAGCAAAGCAGATTGAAAGATAACTAATATTTAGACATGACATTGCGTATAACCATTATTCTTTTTGTGAGCCACTATAGAAATGCAGTAATACAGCTTTTAATCATCATCATCATCATAGCCATTATCTATCCATTGCAGGATGAAGGCTTCTTCCGCATGTTTCCAACCTATACGGTCCTGAGCTTTCTTTGCTAAATTGGGCCCGCAATACTTGCTGATGTCGTTGATCCATCTTGTTTTAGTCTCTTTTGTGGACACTTTTTATCAAGTGGGATCCATTCTATGCAGTGGTGAAATACAATTTTTTTTACTACTAATACAAAAATTTTTACTACTAAAAATTTTTACATTTTTTTTTTACTTTTTTACTACTTACTATGGTTCTGTTGGCGTGGCTTGGTGGGCGTGGCAGGGGAAGGATACTGCAAAATCTCCATTCCCACCCCACTCCTGGGGAAAGGATATTGCAAAATCTCCATTCCCACCCCACTCTGGGGCCAGCCAGAGGTGATATTTGCCGGTTCTCCAAACTCTTCAAAAATTCCGCTACCTGTTCTCCAAACTGCTCAAAATTACTGCTACCGGTTCTCCAGAACCTGTCAGAACCTGCTGGATTTCACCCCTGATTCTATGACTGTCTTGGTTCACCTGCCATCAATTCTTCTTGCTATGTGACCAGCCCATTTCATTTCAATTCTTTTACTCTCTTGATATAATATATACTGCTCAAAAAAATAAAGGGAACACAAGCAGAAGACATCTGAGATCTGAATGAATGAAATAGCCTTATTAAATACTTTGTTCTTTACATACAGTAGTTTATACACTGCTCAAGCAACTAAAGGGAACACAAAACTACTGTATGTAATGAACAAAGTATTTAATAAGGCTATTTCATTCATTCAGATCTCGGATGTCTTCTGCTTGTGTTCCCTTTATTTTTTTGAGCAGTGTACTTTCATTTGTTCTGAAATTCATGTGCAGGTCTTTCTATCTTGTCTTGTAATGCCAAGCATGTATCTTTCCATGGCTGTTTACACCACTTTTCATATCAATTGTGAGATTAGTGTACATGTTTCACCAGCATATGTTAGGGCAGGTAGCACACACTGATCAAAAACTTTTCTCTTCACACATAGGGGGAGGTTAGAATATAATAGAATAGAATAACAGAGTTGGAAGGGACCTTGGAGGTCTTCTAGTCCAACCCTCTGCTTAGGCAGGAACTTCGGACAAATGGTTATCCAACATCTTCTTAAAAACTTCCAGTGTTGGAGCATTCACAACTTCTGGAGGCAAGTTATTCCACTGATTAATTGTTCTAACTGTCAGAAAATTTCTCCTTAGTTCTAAGTTGCTTCTCTCCTTGATTAGTTTCCACCCATTGCTTCTTGTCCTATCCTCAGGTGCTTTGGAGAATAGCTTGATTCCCTCTTCTTTGTGGCAGCCCCTGGGATATTGGAATACTGCTATCATGTCTCATATGAGACATACCCAGTTCCTGCAACCATTCTTCATATGTTTTAGCCTCCAGTCCCCTAATCATCTTTGTTGCTCTTCTCTACACTCTTTCTAGAGTCTCAAGGTTGTTCTTGAAAATTATGTTTAGCTTGCCAAATGCCTGCTAACCACATTTAACATGCTGTTCAATTTCCTTTATTGTATCAGCTTCCATTGAGATCCATTGGCCAAGTAATATGTAGTGGTCAACTACGCCTAGTTCTTCTTTAGATAAAATTTCTTTCTTTCTTTAGTGAATTTATTAAACAGCTTTTAGTTTAGCTTTTAATATAGTTTTAAAGAAAACCATCTACTTCTGCTTCATTGACTATGCTAAAGCCTTTGATTGTGTGGATCACAACAAATTGTGGCAAGTTCTTAAAGAGATGGGAGTACCAGACCATTTCTTTCTTGAGAAACCTATATGTGGGTCAAGAAGCAACAGTGAGAACTGGACACGGAACCACTGATTGGTTCAAAATTGGGAAAGGAATACGGTAAGGCTGTATACTGTCACCCTGCCTATTTAACTTATATGCAGAGCACATCATGACAAACTAAAGAGGAACTAAAGAGCCTCTTGATGCGGGTGAAGAAGGAGAGTGCAAAAGTTGGCTTGACACTCAACATTAAGAAAACTAAGATCATGGGATCCGGCCCTCTCAATTCCTGGCAAATAGATGGGGAAGAAATGGAAGTAGTGACAGATTTTATTTTCCTGGGCTCCAAGATCACTGCAGATGGGGATTGCAGCCAAGAAATTAAAAGATGCTTGCTCCTGGGGAGGAAAGCTATGGCAAATCTAGATAGCATACTAAAAAGCAGAGACATCACCTTGTCAACAAAAGGGCATATAGTCAAGGCTATGGTTTTCCCAGTTGCAATGTATAGCTGTGAAAGTTGGACCATAAGAGAGACTGAACGCCAAAGAATCGAGGCCTTTGAACGATGGTGCTAGAGAAGACTCCTGAGAGTGCCTTGGACTGCAAGGCGATCAAACCAGTCAGTCCTAGAGGAGATCAACCCTGACTGCTCTTTAGAAGGCCATATCCTGAAGATGAAACTCAAATACTTTGGCCACCTAATGAGAAGGAAGGACTCACTGGAGAAGAGCCTAATGCTGGGAAAGTTTGAGGGCAAAAGAAGAATGGGACGACAGAGAATGAGGTGGCTGGATGGAGTCACTGAAGCAGTAGGTGTGAGCTTAAATGGACTCCAGAGGATGGAAGAGGACAAGAAAGCCTGGAGGAACGTTGTCCATGGGGTCGTGATGGGTCAGACACGACTTTGCAACTAACAACAATATAGTTTTAAAAATAAATTTTAATTTGAAATATAGTTTTTAATGTAGTTTTAATATACCTGTATTTTTTCCTCTAAAATTCAGATTGAAACT